AAACACATCTTCAGCTTTATAATAAAGTTATGGCAATCAAAGTACATATTCTAATCTCCTTTTCATTGTTTGCTCAAATATTAAGCAAAAGCAAGCAAGGTGAAAGAAGAGCAGTGCCAACGCTTGTGTATTTTGCTTAGTTACATGCTGCTTTACCGATTTTTTAAGATTTGATTTTATTGATTGTTTCCCAGCTGGTGTTTTATCAATGCCCGGACCAGCGGGACCAACCTCTCTGCCTGCAAAGCCCAGGTGTGTGCGCAGGGAAGCCCTCCCGTGGGCACTGCCCCAGGCTCTGCTCGTCCCAGCCTCGCCTCTGCCGGCAGACGGAGCTACACGAAGTTTTGTGATTCAATTTCATGAATTTCATGCCTGGCTTCTAGTCCCTACACTCATGATTCCAACTAATTTCTTTAGTTTGCCAATTTGCTTCTTGAAATCGCAGCTTTTCCATAATAATGTGATTCTTTGAGGTATTTATTGCTGTAACAGCATGATGGAGATTCCTCTGAGTGCCCAGCCCTGGCTGAGTGCTGGGAGCTCTCCCCAACAGCAGAAGGCTCCTCATTAAAGTGCTCTTGTAATTCTTCCCCAATGAGACTCGTACCCGGGCTGATTCCACTTGATGCAGGCTGCTCTTTATAATTTCCCCACAGACAACAACCCTGTTAACTCTGCTCTGCCCCAGCAGCTCTCCTCCTGCCTGGCTGTACCAAGCACACTGCAGCCCTTCACCTCGCCTGTTCCTGCCTGTGCCGTGCTGGAGCATCCTGCAAGAGATGGGCAAACCCCGTGTGACACTGCTGGGATGTGCATGGTGGGGCATGGCTCCCCACACCGTGCTTGTGTTTGTGCCTCAGGCCCAACAGTGCAGGAAGGATGCTCTGAGTACTTCCACCGAGTCGTGGTAGTTGTCACCTGGAGCCCCTCACTGTGAGCACACTCCTGCGGCCTCACACAGCAATATGGGTATATATTATATATAATGTAACATAGCATAATATATTGGAGCGTATATATTATGTAGTCTATATGAAATGTATAATATGTATATTATATGAAATAAAATCCTAGCTGGTGTGAGTTTTGGCTCAGCTTGGAAGTGTTTCTTCACAGCGCCACTGTGATGATAACACGGCCAATTGTTTCTGTGCCTCTTCCTAGACAAATCCCCGCAGCACCCAGAGCACAGGGCCAGCTCCTCTGCGAGCACCAGCACAGCCTGTGTGAAACGCAGCCACCAGCACAAAATCTGCGGATGTGGGGCAAGGCAAATTGAGATGAATCGGCTCAAGTTGTGGTGGGGTTCGCTGGCAGTTAACTGGAGACGAGGTGGCTCAAGCAGAGGGAAGCAAGGCTCGGGCAGTCCCCAGGTCTCTGTTCGGCCCCCCTCAGCCCCGCACAGTGCCTGGGGGGGCACAGCTCAATGACAGCCCCCACCAACACCCAACCCAAAGGTGAGGTTTGTGTTGTATATATGGGATATATCACAGAATCGCAGTAGTGATCATATAGTGATATGTAGTACGTGTTGTACGTGTTATAAAATAAATCATATGTACCCTATAAATCATATAGATATATATTTCCTATCAAACTGACATAAAATTGAAATTTCTCAAATTCCCATAGAGTGCAAAAATTTTAAAAAGAAGAACATTGGCAATATCAAAGTGCTTTCCTCTGATCACAATAAAATGTTTGTATTTTTTAAAAGCAGCCTTCAAAGTGTTTCAAGCTATCAAATAAATCCAATAAAATGTCTGCTCAATGTTCATGATTGTTCCAGCAATGGTATCTTGAATCACCACATTGACAGTGAAATGCTGTTTAATGTTTTGCAGGAAAGTATTTTACGTATGTGAATTTTTTAAAAGGGAGTTTTCTGATCGAATGGAATGAATAGAAGTCAATTTTTTCAGCAGAAAACAAGGTACTTACACCCATATAAATATATGTAGTTACATAGCTAACCAGAAATGGAGGCTGTATTTTTTATACATATAACATCTAATATATCTATATCTAATATATCTATAATATTTATCAGTTTAATATATTGTATATAACATTAAAATTAAATATATAAAACATGTAAGTAATGATTTTGCATAGTTATGCATATTTGCTTTATATATCTATTTCTAGGTAAGAAGAAATATGTATAAGGAAAAGCAGAATACACATTTTCAAGAAAATTATCCAGTTGTCTACGTGTTAAAAATATATATAATAAAGTGCATATAACAAAATAATGTTCATATACATAAAGATAGTAAGATAAATAATATACGTGTGCATTATTATTTATTTACAGGTTTTTATTCCTAATTTAAGTTTAACAATCACATCGGTGATGCGGGTTGTTTTTTTTCCAGGTGATGCTCTGGCCCCAGGCCGGCTGTGACCCCGATTTGCGGATGAGCCAAGTGAGAGTGCAGCGGGCAGGGGGGAGAGCGCTGGATGTGACCTGCAGCAACCATCGCGGGAGCCAGATAATGCGATTCTCCTCAGCCTCAGACCTGCAGAGAGCCGCTCGGTTAAGCCTTTAAAATCCCTCACAAGTTCTGAAATAAGTTTCTGAAGTTCATCTTTCCCATGCAGCTTCCATAACGCGAAAAGATTTGGGAGCTTTAATGGTGAATGAGAGTTAATATGTTACAGTAAGTCTAACTGGCATTTTGTGATGGAGTGCCAGGCTCCGACAGAAAAAGCTAGAAACGGAGCAAAGCAAACCCAGGGCTTGGCTTCCTGCCTTTCCCTTTCTGTCATTTCCCCAGAAGCTGGTGACTGTTTCTCCTGGATGGAGTTAAATGCATAAGTAAAATTAACTAAACATTGAAAAAACAAACATCTGGTAACAGCAGAGACTAGAAGGAGACAAAGAAAAGGCTTTCAGATCCCCTGAAAATAAACACAACAGATATCAAGACTGTAACGAGCAGCATATCAAACCGTTATCTTTTTTAATGTAAAAGCTGCCTAATGTTGGAAAACCATGGAAACAACAACCATGAAGACAGCCACGTCCTCGGCTTTGCAGCAGAGAAAAAAGGGGGGAGCAGCGAACACGCGGCTGGTGATGTTCAGTAAGGAGAGGCATTGAGTTCAGCACTGCCCTACGCTGGGGTGCCGTGCCGAGGGCATCGGCCAGCAGCGAGAGGCAGTGGGAGCAGGGGCCAGGCTGGGCTGATACCGCCTGGGGGCTCCGGCAGGCGCTGCCTGACCCACCCGGGCTGGCCCCAGGGCACACATGTGGGGAGCCAGCCCCTGGTGCCAACAGCCCCCCGCGGGGGATACACCACGGAGAAAGCGGCCACGAGCTCCCTTTGAGACAACAGCTCTTGCTCTTGCTGAATGGCATTGAAATACCAAGCCCCAAAGCTTCAAAATATTGATGGCGTTATTAAAATGGGACCTTTAATTTTGCATTAAGATCATTTTAGCGTTGGAATTCTGGAATTTAATTATGTATGAGCCCCAGCCGCAGTGCTTCTCTGAAATTAGTTAGCATTTATACTTCTACACGTAACGTGTAATTTAGCCTCTTGCATAGAAGGGCTAAATGGTGCTAACATTGTGGGTAGCTGCAGCCATCCCTTTAAGCAAACATGCAGACATTGTGCTCCCAAGGAACTGTGGAGAGTTACAAAGACGACTAGTGAGCAATTTTGGGAAGCTGTTCCTAAGGAAAGCTGCAGCAAACAGCTGACTTACTCGGATATAAAACCTAAAAAAACTAATATAAAATTGCCCTATATTGGGTGGGAAGGCACCGACTTGTACAGCCAACACGGGGCATCATACACCAGAAATGTGTTGCTGGAGCCCTCAAGGTGCTCCTCAGCCTTCTGCCCATGTGTGACCAGAGTCATCAATAAGCCAACAGTCCTCTGGCCTTGGAAGATTAAAATTCTCAGAGAGATAATGCACAGTTTTAATGAACTTTTCTGTGTTCCACAACGCGTTAACATTACAATGGGAAAAGCAGTAAGGTCAGTGTCACAAGAGGAGCTGGGAGAAGCTCTTCCCTGCCTCTTGGTGAGGTTCTTCTGGGTGGTCTGTGGGGAGCTGATCTGCCCCACCTCTGGCACCGACCGCGGCGAGCTCCCACGGGAGCTCAGCAAGGGCAGACCCTGCTGCACGCCCTTTGCTCAGCTGCCAGCTCCCTAAATGCAGGTGACAGCGCACAGGGACCGCCACTGCGTGCTTGTGGCTGTGATGGAAACTCCTTCTTCTTGGCTGAGCCATGTCCCCAGGTGGGCTCTGCACATCTCAGCTGCCCCCTGCCTCCCTGCTGCAGTCCCGAACCTCTGAGTCCCTCGGTGCCGCCATCATCTGCCAGACCTTCACTTAACCTTGCCAGTCCTCTTCTCCCTGCCTTCTTTTTTTTTCAGGTTAACAAGGTAAACTTTGATTTTAAACTATTCAAACATTGCCTTGATTTATTTTTATGTTTTTATGCTAAGTATCTCTTACACCTGTGGCATTTTTGGAATAATTACATTTCTGGTATTTTAACAAATAGTTGCAAATTAAAGGAGAGCATGCTGAAGTCAGAACAGATGGGCTGAATAAATTTATTGATTTGGGAAGAATACCAAAAGAAATAACTTTTTTTTTTTTTTTTTTTTTTTTTTTTTTAAGCAAGAAGGAAGAAAAAAGACAAGTAAAATTAACAGAATAGTTCAGTTATCTTCTGAAAAAATGCCATGAACTCAGTAGTGGCTGATGGGCTGCAGCTGCGAGAAGACAGAGGCAAGAGAAAGCCAGATGGGGATAATATATACCACAAAGGCAGCGTGAGCATACACAGCGTGGACATACATGGTACACACACACGTAAATGCAAGCCCAGAAACCCAATGGATTAATGGGTATGCACATTATTCTGGTGAAGCCATGAAGATCAGAGGCTGGGGTGAAACCACAGCTGTGTGCAATTGTTGGGGCTATTTACCTCCCTCTGGGGGCAGGAGCACCCCTCTGGAGCTCAGCAGTCTGATTTCAGAGGAGGCAGCAGCTTGGTGTGCAGCTGTCTGGGTGCAGCAGAGCCTCTCCCGCAGCTCCATTTGTCAGCACGGGTATGGCTGGAGCTCTGCTGCTGTGTCCCCTGTGGTGGGGCAGCCCCCAGGAATCCCCTGTGATGGGGTGGCCCCCAAGGACCCTTGGCTGGTACAGGTGAGCTCAGCTCCTCAGCTCCTGTGCTGGGGTGCTGACTTTGCTCTTCCAAGAGCTGCTGCTTTTTGTTTCGTGGTGTCACACCTTTGTATCTTTTCCCTGACAGCTGCTACATGATCCGTGGCTTTTAGACTAAGGCTGAGGGAAATTTCCTTCTCAGTTTTATGTGTCAGTTCCCGCACTGTGCTTGTTCTTCAGCTCATGCACCACTTCACTGCCTCAGTATTTTTCTGTTCCTGTACTTCCAGGCAGCAACAGCATCCCAAGTACCATGTGCAAGATCTGCAAAATTAGTAGCATGTATTAGGGAAAATCCTCTCTGTTCAGCCTTTCCAGCACACTGGGGAATGAGGACTTTTGGAATTTTGTGTGTTCATCACCTTGGTGAACTGCTGTGTTTTCCTTTATGCATAGACTGGGGTACCCAACTGCTGGTGGATGTTTTTTCACAGAAAAGTTCTAAAGCAACCTTTGCATGTAGTTGTGTCTATGGGAGTCAAACCTCCCAGTTGCACTCTGCTGTCCCTATAACAGTTAGGAGACCTGTCAGGGTGGTGGTGAGGTTTCAGTGCGCAGTGTGGGAACGTCTCCCCATAGTTCATTTCATATTTAAGGATCTATGGGGCTATTTCCTCATCTCAAAAATCAAAGACTTGGTGCATTTCTGTAGGGCAGACATTCGGAGAGGAAATCAATGTTTTCAGCTCCTCTTTCATTCCCTGTTCACTTTGGTCATTTGTTGTCGATTTGAAATGCTTTGCTTGGACTGACAGAGTGAAGCACTCCTTCAGCTTAGTTGAGATTGCGGAAGCTGTCTGAAAATAGTTTCCCTTGCAGGTCTCTCTGGCATTTATTACATAGAATTGCAGACATTAAATCAACAGAATTACTGCAATGCTCCAGCCAAACTGGTAGCTGGATCTATGCATTAATTTTCAAGTTCATTAGAGAGCTGCTTAAATCTGGAACAGATGAGGTTAGAAAAGGAATGAAAAAATGCACTATGAGTATCATGAAAAATATCTCTTAAATGCTGTTATTTAACCATTTTTTGCTAGAGTTTAGTAGCAGATTGCCAATGGGCATAGATGGATTAAAAAAAAGCTATGAAACAGGTTACGATTTTGAAAAGAGCACACTTTATCTTTCCATTATACTCTCAGAAAGAAAGCGGAATGGCTTTTTTCTAGCTAAAAATGAATATGGTGTGCAGATTGTTCAGGGTTTTGTCTAATATGTTCAATTAAAATATAATTAACTATTTTCTGTAGTCTGGTTTAGAAACATGCAAGTACATACTGTGGTGGGTGGCTGTGTATGTAGTTGCATTAAAAGAAGGATGTGCATATGGAGAAGGTGCCAGAGAAATTATTTGAAGGTCAAGGCTGCTTTTTGCACAGTGGAAGCTGAAAAACCATGGTCACTTAACACTGAAGAAGATTAAATGATTTCTGCATAGAATATTTTCAGAGAATAAGCCAGTTCAGATGTGAGCGCAAGTTTCAAGGATGGGTTACGAAGCAGAGAAATTCTGGAACTTTTTTTTTTAACCATAATATTCCTCTTTTTTACAAGCTGGCATTCTGTGGATTCAGATTCCTGTTTTAACAGATTAGTAATACAGAAAGAGCTCCTGTGACCAAGAGCTTGGTCTTCTGCGTAGCCTGCAACACCTGCTGCTTATTTGGCAGAAGTCATTTTGGGAGGACTGCTGCAGGTGGGTCAGGCAGACCTGGCATGGATCTTTATTTAGGTTATTTAGGTGTTAGAGCCTATTAGGTATTTAGGTGTTAGAGCCTGATGTGGGCAGTATGCACGCAGCTCCATAATGTTGTTATACCATCCTCGTGCAGCCTGGTGAGCATCGTTGTGCTGTGACGGGGCTGTGTGCAGGCACCTGCTCCCAGGGCACTCCTCACACTGACTCTGACAGCTCTAGATGCTGCTTTACCACCTAACCCTGCCTGTTGCTCCCCAAATTGTTGGGTATGTGGCACGCTGAGCCCAACCAGGCGATGCTGGGTGCATTGTGGTGGTCGGCCTGCCTGCCCCTTCCCTGCCCTCCCAGCTAGGCCGGGGCCTGCACAGGGCCCAGGCCTGTGTGTGCTCCAGTCACAGTGCTGGGCTGCTCTGTTGGGCAAAAACTCCCCAGTTTATGTAAATCTGTATTATATATTCAGTATGAATTAGTGATGTACTGATGTAGCTGTGACTAATGTATTACAGTTGGAAAACTATGTTGTTTGTGGTGATCACTTCAGCATTGCAGAAAAGGCAATATCAGTGATAAGACTCTGGCTACACAGATGTAAGGGAGCCCTTAATCTTCCGAGTTGCCCTAATATATTTTTGTGTTTAAACAATTTTTGTCTAGCTTGCTAGTTCCAGAAGATAAATTTTATGACTATGCTGCTATATGGCCTTTTTTGAGTTTCATATTCTGAAAAATTCTGGGGGGAGTGAAAACAGAAATCAAGGAGAAAAAATTGAGAAAAAGAGCCCTTAGTGAGGTAAATAGTGACTGGGCTGCAGTGAAGTGCCTTGGGAATGAATGCTGGTGCTTACACCCTGGTTGCTGAGGTTATGGCGTGCAAGATTGGCTTTGTTCATCCCAAATGTCAGGAGCACCGAGTGCCATCCTCTGACTTCACAGCTCACCTATTTCCCTCACTTTGGAATAGCAAAGTAAATTAAATTTGGTCTGAGAGGAATAGTAGCTTCCTGGCCAAGCAGGGAGATCTCACTGTACGCTTGCCTGAGGAGATTAAGCCAGGTAGGAAATCTCTAAAATGGAATTAAAGTCTTTAGGCTCCTCCCAGGGGTTTCTGAGGCTTCAGTGTCTCTGACCACCCTTTTGGGAAGTGCAGCGGGTGCTGGCTTGCAGGCACAGCCCGTGTCCAGCTGACAATAAAGCACAGCAGAAGGCCTGTCCACCTGCCCTTCTGTCCTATGACACAAGTGGGCCTGGGCTGGATGGGCCATTGCTGCGTAGTCCCACCCGCACAGTTACAGAACGCTCCCCTGTCAGAAAATTTGACAGAGCAATTGGATAAAATGGGGGAAAAAAAAAGGCAAGGAAAAAACTCAGTGCATCCACTGACAAGAAAGCTCATTCTGAGAATTCACCCACAGAGCCCTAGGCTGCCTGGCCCCCTGCCATAGGCTCCTGGACCCGTGTGTGGGATTGGCCACGTGAGGCTACAGGGCTAAATGTGAAAACCCTGAGCCACTGTTCAGTTACGGGGACATTCACTGAGGCACTGTGATAAATTGTTAGTGGAGCATGTAATGGTCCCTAGGAGGGAAAGCTTCAATGCTACTGGGTCACTTCAGCTTAAGCTATAGCACTCTTTCACTTGCAGATATTTTTTTGGGAAAAAAAAAAAAAAAGGTTCATTTCTAAAGGCATTTTTTCATCATCTTTTGCTCATTAAGTTGTTCAGGAAAAATTAACTAATGAGATTATTTGCCAGAAAAATTGTCCAGCTGGTGCTCTTGAACGCTAGTCTGTGCTTCTGGCTGATACCATATTGTTAACGGCTCAGAGATGGCATTAAACACCACCTCTCTCCCAGCAGTGAGCAGGGCTCCCGCTGAGCTTCTCCTCCTGAGATCTTTCCTTATTTATTCTATTTTATTTTATTTTTTAAATCTAAGCATGGGGCTTGTGCCTCCCTTCCCGATAATGGCCACGCGAATGTCTCTGTGCATCTGAGAGGAACATATGGTTCGGCATTCCGGGCACAACCATGGAGCCCTCCTGGGGGGAAGGCAACATCTGCCAGCTCCTGTGGCCTGTAAGCAAACCTACGGAGGCAGAGCTGTCAATGTCACATCAAAGTGGCAAATTTACATCCCGGGGCAAGAGACTTCCCTCGTGGCAGGCTGTTCACTTGGTTCAGGTCTAAATCATTGTGCTCGCACCCAGCAGTGCTCTGCAGTCTGTAGTCTTAATGCTGGTATTTAGAAGGAAAATGGAGCCCATTAATGCAACGTTGGCAGGTCTGGAGTCCCACCAGGCTTGCCTTAACCTGGGAAGACCTGAAGTCTTTCCCTGTGTCTGTTGAGATCTCATGGCATCTACAGATATCCTAGGGGGGCTTAAGAAACAGACAAAAAAAAAAAAAAAAAAAGGCTTCCAATTCTTACAGGAAGGATCGTGCATTTGTATTAAATGGCTTAAGAGGACACTTTGCATCTGAAGTTCCTACCTGATGCGAGGTCAGAAGATGCATATCCTGCTGTAGGTGATGGAGTGTGGCTGTAACTCCACTCAGCAGTGTGACAGAATCTGGAGAATTATTTATCCCAGCCAATATGAGCCAAAAAAAAAACTCATTTAGGGAGGTATTAGTAGAAGACTTCTATGAGGATTTGAATATCATTAGGTGGCTCTGATGTACCTTAATCTTAGCATGCTGCAAATAATTTTGGGAACTAGACTTTTTTTTTTTTTAAAAAAAGGCAAGTGGGAGAATTATAGAACAGCAGTGATAATAGAAGGCTTAGAAAGTATAGTGGATGAGGAAAGGTCAGAATAATTTTCCTTGGAAAATTTCTGGACCAGTGGCATCTGACGTGCACCTGAAGAACCCTGTGGACTTTCCTTCCTCAGAGGGTTTTGGAGAAAAGGACTGTGCCCGCAGAAGGTGCTGGTGGGTGACACAACGTCCTGAGCTGTGGCAGGGGTTTGGCCAGGGTGGAGTTGTCAGATGCCTTTAAATTATGGGAATAGGAGGGTTTATGACCCTCTCTCCCCCACTGGAGGGGGGGAGAGGGGGAATTTACTTTCAAAGGTTGAAGATAACATGATGTTCAATAGTCAGAATGAAAAGAAGGAAGAGTGAAATCTTAAGTTTCATTTGTTTTAGCTCTCAGAAAGCAAAGAGGAAGCTTGAAAGTAAAATAAAAAAAATATATGAAATTTTTGTGGAAAGCTTTTTCCACCTTGCTTCTTCCTGGACCTCCATTTTTAACCTAAGAATCTTGAAAGGTATATT